TTCATGCTTTTCAAGCTGTTTTATATCTGTATTACAGTAAAATAATTACATATGCGAGCCAGCTGAACAGTTGCAACTTGGTGGGGACAGATTGCATAGTCAGATGGCCACTCTTGACATCACTAGTAAAGTCTGTCTTGGAAACACTGCAATAAATGTAAACACTATTACCAAAACTTAACAACACAACATTAAAATATCCTGAAAGACTTTACAGTTCATTTTATTTAAGTATGCAAATGGGGGAATATACTCGACTACACCAGCATTATAAATGATATACTGAGACAAATTATAGAGAAGTTAAAATGGAGCACCAGACCTCAGTGACTCAGCCAGGCCAGCCAAAAAGGGTACACACACCTGACAGATGAGGCACAGGTTAGTGGAGTAGCTAGCTTTAAACAGTTAACTAAAGGAGCAAATTAACTGCAGGAAGAGTGGAAAACAAATCAGAAATTAAAATTGACAGTTCACCAGTCTTCAGTCCTTTGCTCACCAGTGCAATACCAGCATAACCTGCACCTGTCTGCGTGACTGTTTTCTGCTGTTGCAGCTGCTTCTCTCACTTCCCACAACAAACTCGGCAAGTCAGAGTAATAGTCATCCTCGTCTTACTTTAGTCAGCCATTAAGTGTGTCAGTCAGCTCAGTGGGGGGCTCAAATCTGCTGTGGGTGTAGTGGCAAGTGGTGTCTTCACATCCTAAACCCAACACTTACCTGCAGTTCTACATGAATAAAACATGAATAATACGTTTACCAGACTTATTTCTTTGGAAGCATGAGAGGGAATCTGTGTTTAAATGTCTGGTTGACTAGTTGCACTCCTCGCTGTAACAATAGAGTAAAACTGGGCTTAAAAAAATGTAAATATTGAGTTTTAGTTGATCAGCTGCAGGTTTACACTAACACACCTGAGAGTTTCCCATAAATGCACACAACCTTATGATATTCTTAAAAGCATTCAGTGTTAACTTAGTGACTTTGTGTTTCTAGTTATCTTTTAAAAATAGATTTCTAATTGTATGATTTTCATTTTAAAGACAGAAGCTGCTTGACCGCTAGACCAGCAAATGAAACAAGAGAAACTGTGTTTGCTGTCTACCATTTCATGCATTTTAGTGTTGTGTGTCAACAGGAATTTGTACTGATAACATCATTCCTGAGCTGTAGCTCTCTCCGTACATCCCATAATATACTGAAGCAAAGTGCTGAAACACATCAAATCTTCTCTGTTGTAGATTTTCTATGATCTGGTGCGACAGATCAACAGAAAAACGCCGATGGAAAAGAAGAAGACAAAAAAGAAGTCAAGTTGCACACTGCTCTAAATTGCCATCCCACGATAGCTCCAGGCCAGGTGAGTGGGTGTAAAAGCAAAATTTATTCCAGACATTTGCAAGGCTCCAGCTGTGTTCTGAGCTCTGGGTTATCACAGAACATTTAGAAACCTACAGCAATAATTATTATGATGATTTTTTTTTTTGAGGGGGAGGATTGGTGTGTTGCAAATAACAAGATCTCTGTAGGTTTAATAGTGAATGTTTCATGTGGACTTTAATTAACCAGAGGCCTCTCAAGTCCTCTTTTTATGTCTTCTGTTACACCATCCTCCATTTTAATTGGATCAAAGAGGGTTTACAGTGTGCTTATATGAATTTTGGCGAATGTGGTGGCTCCACCTGCTGCAGCAGCAGCGCAACTGTAATGAAATCTAATTATAGAGAGCACTGTTGGAGCTTCTCTGGCCTTTTTGTTCCTACAACAAATTCACAGAAATTTCCAGCTGTTTTTTTTCCTTAATCACACCACTGTGTTATTGTCTGATATTTGTTTTTCAATATAAATCTTTGGTTTGCAGTCTCCTTGCTTTGATATAAAAAAATCCGCCTCTGGAGATTTGAGGTTTGATTGAGATGCTGTGGACATTGTTTTGCTCTAGCTTCTTAAATGATGCCTGCTGTGTTGCAAACACTGGTCATCAAGCAAAACAAGGCATTTCCACTGTAATGAAATGGGAGCAAACTGGACTCCTGGAAGTCTCACCAGTTCTGCTACTTTCTCTCCCATCTTGCAACAGCTTCTACAGTGTGCTGATGATATTCACCAAAAGCACTCCTCCCAAACTGAACCCAAACTGTCCTTTTGGTGCAACACTTCGACGTTTCAAATGTTTTTCTTCCTCTTTAAGGTTTTTGTGCATCTTTCGCAGCACCATTGCTGTTTACCTCCTAGTTTCCTGACAGCGATAGTCTTATCATAGACATACGTCACACATGCTCAAGCTGGCGCAACTCAGGCAGCTAAGGCCTCACAGACACATTGGGAATGATGTTTATTGCACAATAGAACTGTAGATTTTCTCCTTATCACACTGGAAGTGTTTCAGATAGTGACTCAAAAGTTTGAGTCTTTCTTTTCCCCTACTACTATGATTTGCTTCTGAGGCAGTTATGACTTGTCCACACTTGTACTTGCCGTTCAGGAAATGTTTGTGAGTTGAGCATGCGACACTCTGAGTCAAATCAAGGCATGCTTTAGCCACTACATGCTGTTAATTCCCAGCTTCCTCACTGGGCTAAAATCCCAAAAGACAGTCTCTGAAGTGTGGCCCACAAACTCATGAACTAGGGAAATTATGTCATAATCCTCCCTGCCTGATGGATCTTTGTGAATGCAGAAAAACAGTTTATACTGTGATTGTTTTGTCTTACAAAGCAGCAAATAGGAAGCATAACGAAGTTGACATTTTTATGTTTCATGTGACATTTTTGGGAAGCTGCAACAAAAACATAAACTGGGATAAGCAGCACTCTGACATTTTGGTGCCACAGTAAATCTCTTTGTAAACTGGAAACAAAGGTTCACCAAGAGGACAGATGGTTTCTAGAGAGGTGGAGGCTGAACATTTATGAGTTGTTTCAAAGCGTCTCGCCTCAGCCGAAGAAAGTCAATATTTTGTATGGTTTCAATATAGCTGCTTCACTTCACTGATTCAGAGCAGCTGAAAAGTAAGTTTTCACTGCAACAAGAACATCCCTTATACGGACTGACTCCAAGTGCCAGTGACTATTGGACAGCTGAATTATGCTTTTATAGGAAAGTGATTTCATGAGTTAAATACACAAGGAGTTAGAGAATTAAGTAAAATGACAAGTACAAAAGGGGGGGGGGGGAACAGCACTACACTCAGCCAATGTCAGGTGTCAAAAAACGGGCAGAGTACCAAAGTTTGAAAAGTTTGAATCGCTGACATGAGTGCAGATGGGATGGCCTTCTACAGGAAACGTGCTACAGTTCAAATGAAACATGAACAGCTGCAGCAGTGAGAGCGCTTTGGTGAAAAGTCTTGCCTAATTTTCCCATCAGTTTTTGGATTCTGAAAAGATAGAAGGTAGAAGGGGAATAACTGAACAGCCTATCCAGTTGGCTCCATGTGAGGTCTCTATCCTGCAACAGCCAAAAATTAAGCAAGTGAACATATTGTGCCCTTGTGGATTCGCTGATGGTTTTCATTTTATAGTTTATATTTTAGAAAAGCAAAGGAAACACACTTATATATATATATGTATGTACGTGTGTGTGTGTCTATATGTAGTAGATATTTAGGTGTTTACATCCATGTTAATTGCCACAGTTGAGGTTCAGCAGAATTAAGAGGATAATGTGTTGACAAAATTAACATTCAGTTTATAAACTGCATGTTTTTACAGTTTAAAATGAAAAAGAATCCCTTGTAACAATCCTCCTAGCTATCCAGGGCTTGACCAATTTGGTGTGGAATTATTTTGATCTGCATATTTGATTCAGTATTTATTTCGCATCAGTGCAGCCCTCCCCATTTATCCAGGACTCAAACTGGCACAAGGAATAAAGGCTTGCAGCCCACCTTGTAGCTGGGCTAGCTTCACAACTTATAAGAATTCAAGTCTTAAAAAATAACCCTGGTTGTTCATTTCCATCTTGATAATCATACAGGTTTTTCAAAGAAAAACTACTGAACTACTGAAGGTGGGCAAATGTCCTGCAGTGTCGAGACACCGTCTTGACTTTTTAAAATGTTTCAGGAACAAGTTGTGTCCACATCGTTTACATTGAATCTTCTGACTTTATTCTTTCTTTTTCTTGCTTTCAGAAACTTGTAATGATTAACTGTTTCCCAGTGGATCGTGCCAGCATTCCAAGTCCTCTCCGAAGCATTTTGAAAAAGGCTGACAGAGAAATTTCACCACTCGCAAAATGGCAGGAGATGGCACATACTCTCAAGAAACTCTTTCTTTCTGCTCTTTAATGGCAAAGATATCCACCTCTTCTTTTTTTACTGTCAGCCTGATGACAACTGTTTTGTTTTTGTCCTCTTCTCCAAGTTGTCTTTCTTTTTGGAAATATCAATATAAAAGAGGAGACCTTGGATTTATATCCATCTATGGGAACTAAAATGTTTTATTAAAAGTAACATCAGATATTTGACACATTGTGACAATGCGTTCGCAAAAGTATCCATGTGAAATGTTGGTCTTCTTGTACATTTCTGCACTAACAGTGTCAATGAAGATGCATCATTGTCCATAAATTACTCGCTCCTACTTACAAGGATGTGTATTGATGAAATAACATCTTTCCTAAGTGACTTTGTTTTATATCGAGAGCTGCAAGCCTTCCATATTTCCCATAATATATTCTACTTCCATTTTTGCATAATAAAGCTAAGGAAATTAGTATTTTATAGACTGATGGGGGAAATGGTGCGTTCTGATTTGTCTTGAGGCTGAAAATATATTGTACTAAACCAACTCTAATATCGCTTCTTGTGTTACCCTGTCACAGATGATTTTCCAGCTTTTATGAATGATTAAATTTTAGTACATTTTCATTAGTTTTGGTCTTGGTTTTTGTCCTTTTAGCATGTTTTTGGTGTTTAACAAAAAGATTGGGAGTGAAGTTTGGACACATCTGCGTATACTGCTGCCCTCTGGACCCAAATGAGCTGTGGAAAATTGATTATGAAATCGCTTTTTAAAATAATTGATTTGATCAAAGTCACATTATATGAACAAATATGTTTTATCCACAGCAGCATGAGTTGACAGTGCGTTTCGTTAAGTTCTGGTTTTCTGGGTCACGAATAGAGCAGTGTGAAGATCGATATCTCCCAGAGAGCTAAAAGAGTAACTTGAGTGTTTCCTGTCAGCAGAAATGACGGCCTCAGACTGAGTCACCAGAGGAGGTCTGAGCTGAGAGGAAGCTGCAGAGAAAGAGGAACTCGTACAGAAAGACAGGGTATGAATTGAAGGCAGCAAAAAGCAGAATCGAGACTGATTAAGATGATGAGCAGATAGAACTCAGCTGCTCCACCTTGGGGTGGTGGCTTTAATAATTAAGTAACAAAAACAGTACATGACCACCATGATGCATTCACAGGCCAGTTCTTACGTACCCTTTGCAGCAGCTCGTTAACAAATATCTAATCAGCCAATCAGCAACCCAATCCACTTAGGCATGTAGATGTGAGCACATCCACATGTCTAAATGAATGCGGCATGGTTGTTGGTGCCAGATGCGCTGGGCCGAGTATTTCAAAAACTGCTGATCCAGTACTTTCCCACACAAACATCTCCAGTGTTTAAAGAGATGGTCTGAAAAACTATCCAGTGAGCAGCAGTTCTCCAGGAGAAAATCCTAGAGGTCAAGCCTCTGAATCGTTTACATGTTCAATGGCAAACTTACACATTGAACATGGGTTCATTTCGGTTGATTTTCTGTTTCTCTCCATAAAAATTAGAGACTGTTCATTTCTTGGTATGTGAGCAAACTTACAGTTGTTGCCAAAAGTTTTAAGAATGACACAAATATTTGTTTTCACAAAGTTTGCTGCTTCCAATTTCATGATAGCAATTTGCAAATACTCCAGAGTGTTATAAAGAGTGATCAGATGAATTGCGAAGTCCGTCTTTGCCTTGACAGTGAACTAAATCCCCAAAAAACTGGCTGAGATCATTTCAATAATCTTGTCGTTAACTCAGGTGGAGATCATTATGTCATGCTGACCGGTTTAGAATACCAGACTGAAGGTGATGAAAGGAGGCTGATGTTTGAAATCATTGTTCTTCCTGTTAACCTTGGTTACCTGCAAAGAAACACAGCCATCATTGAATTGCATAAAAAAGGCTTCACGGGCAAGGATGGTTTTGCTACTAAGACTGCACCGAAATTGAAGTTCAGTTGAAATTGAAGTCCAACAAGCACCAGGACTGTCTCCTAAAGATGATTGGGCTGCGTGAGTGCCACCAGTGCAGACCTTGCTCAGGAAACGTAGCAGGCAGGTGTGAGTGCATCTGCATGCACAGTGAGACAAAGACTTTAGGAAGATGGCCTGGTGTCAAGAAGGGCCGCAAAGAAGCCACTCCTCGCAAATAAAATGTCAGGACAGATTGATATTCTGCAAAAAGTGCAGGAAGTGGACTGCTGAGGACTGGCGTAAAGTCATTTTATCTGATGAAGCCCCTTTCTGATTGTTTGGGGCATCTGGAAAAAGGATTATCTGGAGAGGAAAAGGTGAGCACCACCATCAGTCCTGTCTCATGCCAACAGTAAAGCATCCAGAGACCATTCATGTGTGGGGCTGCTTCTCGTCCAAGGGAGTTAGCTCACTCACAATTTGGCCAAAGAACACAGCCCTGAATAAAGAATGGAACCAAAACATCCTCTAACAGGAACATCTAACCATCCAAAAGCAGTTTGGTGAAGAACAATGCCTTATCCAGCATAATGGAGCACCGTGCCATAAGACCAAAGTGATAATTAAGTGGCTCGGGGAACAAAACATTCTGGCAAACTCAAAGCATTGATTATGAAAGAATGGGTTGCCATCGGTCAGGATTTGGCTCAGAAGTTGATTGAAAGCATGCCAGGGCAAACTGCAGAGGTCTTGGAAAAGAAGGGCCAACACTATAAATATTGACTCTTTGCATAAACATATCGATGAAAGCCTTTAAAACTTATATAGTGCTTGTAATTCTACTTCAAAACATTGCAGAAACAACTGACACAAAGATATAAAAACACTCAAGCAGCAAACTTTTTGAAAACCAATATTTGTGTCATTCTCAAAACCTTTGGCCACTACTGTACAAATTCAGTAAGGGATCAAATAATTATTTCCCGCACCATTTACACTGGGTAAGTTTGAGCCATTCATTTTTAGTTCAGACTGTTTATAAAAGGGTGAATGTAGCCGTCAGTGAAGTGTTTATGTCCTCACCATTTAGGTGTTCTGAAAGTAGACCTGTTGAGAGTGGATCTAAGAACCCCAGGGACACCGCACAAGATACTCTGCCAGCTTCTCTGCTTTATCACCCTTTTTGACTCTAAAAATAACCATAGTTTGCAAAATAAACCTCACTTTGCATTAAATATGACTTGAAAGCAGCGATTGAGAACATAAACTCAACAGAAAACTCACAGACTTCTATTTAACTGGAGTGTTTTTGGAAGCAGAAGCCCCCTGCTGGCCATTTAAAGGAATGCAGGTTAAAGGCACTTCTGCACTCCCTTAGCTTCTTAGACCCAGGACCATCATTTGTATACAGTTAATGCACTTTACACACACATATAAGCAATGTTTAAAAAAATTAAGGCGGACTCCGTATTCTTTTTGTGAATGCTATGAGACCTCTTTGAGCTTCTAGGGGACCCTGGTTAGGAAACATTAAGCTACTATGATGTGTTAGTAATTTATAATGTTACAGATTACAGTTTTACAGTTTTAAAATGTGAAACTTTTATTTGTAATATTTATTCTTCAGCTTTATTGTTTTTACTTTGTGTCGAGTAAACTATTTCTGTAGTTCTCCCACTTCTGTCTTTTAATAAATTACTAGATTTGTGGACGGACAAACCCAAAGTAGGCTACCCGCTGTAACCGAACAGCTCAGCTCCCTTTGATGGAGAGAAATCTCCGCTCAGACCGCTTAAAATCTCATTTTCCTATATGATCTCCGATGATTGAGGAGCGGCAATGATTCCCCCCCTCTGTCCCTCTCTCTCTCCTACTCTGGCCCTCCTCCCTGACTCCTTTCCCCTCCCTCCCTCTCTCCCACACGCATTCATAGTCTACAGACCGACAGGCTGGGCGACCCCCCTCCCCCCCTTCCATCATTTTCCCATCCCTTACTCGCTTCCCTACAACAAATATGGCCGCGAAATCTGACGGTGCACCCGTCTCTCTCCGAAACGCAATCCCACCCGAGTGCCCCTCCAGGTCGGACCCGCGGCCTCCCCAGCGCCGTCCCGACGAGCAGCGCTATACCCTCTCGGACTGCTGCTGGACGCTGTGCGCCCTTCTGGTGTTCTTCGCGGACGGGGCCTCAGACCTGTGGCTGGCCGCGGACTACTACCTAAGGAAGTACTACCCGCAGTTTGTACTGACTCTGGTCTTTGTGATAGTCCCGTCCGTGGTCGTGCAAGTGTTGAGCTTCCGATGGTTCGCCTACGATTTCTCGGAAACCGTGGAAAGCGGCACTGCCGCGGCCGCCGTGGTGGCAGCGTCGGAGCGCGACATCAGCACCAAGGACAGCGGCGAGCGGGGCGCTGGCCGCTCTGCCGCGGCCGGGGTGCTGCCAGGGCCGGGCACCGGGGGAGGAGCCCGGGGGTGCTGCAGAGTCTTCGTCTGGCTCTTCCAGGCTCTCATTCACATCTTTCAGCTGGCACAGGTCTGGAGGTAAGTCAGAATACTCAAAGCGTGATCTGAGCCGAGGGGAGACTACACATTGTGGCTGTGTGTGGGGGGGGGTCTTTCAAAGCACAGCATCACTCCCTGTAGTAATGAAACCTAATCATTCAGGAGGACTGCGCCCAAAATGCCAGAATATCTTTTTGTATTGTTTGACATCTTTCACGAGCATGGAAAGGCAGAATTAGACTCCACCCTTCCACTCCCCCAACCCCCTGGCTGGCTTCTAGGTCAATCATCTGTCTGAAAATCACCAACTCATCCACACCAATCGCCTTCAAATGAAGTAAAATGGGAGGAAAACAAGAAGGAAGAAAAATCCTCTTGTCTGTTCAGTAGGAGGAAGGAGCCTGACTGCTCAAGAAGAAGGATAATAGCCATAAATGTCAGGAGAGTTGCTTCACATTTACAGTGATACTTGCCTCTCTATCACTGTTTTGTGTATTTTTGGTTCCTACCTTGAGGCTCTGGCTCTTATGTTTGCAAAATCCATATTCTCAAACCTCCCAACAGTTTTTTCCCTTCGAGCCATGTTCATACCCAAACATGTTTAATTACTGGGCGCTAAAAACAAACTGGTGTACACTTTGGCATTGTTCTCAAATAGATGGCAGTAGGTCTGTAGGTCAGCTACTCAAGCAGTGATAGTGAGTCGGTGCTCAAGCTTGGAGTGCCCTGATAGGCTTTGACAGGTTTGAACTGCTGCCAGCCAGGAGGAGCCATTCATCTAAACTGTAGTAGGTGGACGGTTAGACAAAATTACATTCAAAGACAAGTTGTGTTTTGCAGACATGTCGGGCTGTTGTAGAAAGAAAGATGCAAATCAGTTGTTTGATTTATCCGTAGGCCTGCATAATCTCTGTCCTCTCTCGCTCTCGCTCTTCCTGCCTCTTTAGACAGCCCTATGGGTAATAACATATATTGATTCCTTATTTCCTCCTGGAGACTAGTGTGAGAGAGCGTGTCCTGGATCACATTAAAACATTGTGGCGGCACAGAATTACCGGTAATGCCATTAAAGCTGTGGTGCGTGCCCCGTTCACTGCCGTTCTGCTGCTGCTGCTCTCAGAGCAGCGTGTCTGCACATTAAGAGGATTACCGCTGTGTGTTTTACCCTCAGCTGTTAACTCAGGAATGAGCCGTCACTGATACACAATTAGTCAGGTGAACCGGGATCAATTTGGGCCGGCTACCAGAATTGAATGTCAGTGCGTTTGAGATGTGATACGGGCTCGTGTCACACACAGGGCGTGCGATGACACTGTTTGTGTGTGTGTGTGTGTGCGTCCTCTTGTGTGGCTGAGTCTTTGACCCTCGTTATTGCACATATGCTCTATTTTCCCAGTCTGTTCCATCCCAAGGCACGCTTTGTGTAGCAGGGACCAGAACAAAAAAAGGGTTACACAATCTCCCCTGTGGTTCAGTGGGCTTGTTGACATAGGGCTTCTCTGACCCTTCTCCCCGAGGCAATTACTGAGGCGATTATAGCATCAGTCCTCCGTGACAACCACCGGTGATTTTCCAACATGTAGATGCTCTGTAGCGATAATCGTTTACACTCTGTATATTTGCATAGTGCAAACACATTTGTGCAGAAATATGTGTGCTTTTCTGCAGCATCCTGTTTGGTACCTATACAAGGTCACTGCAGAACGAATGGAGGTGGGACTACATGTCAGCAAAAGCTCAAGAATTCAACAAAGGATTTGCAGCGAGCTCTTTTCTCCCTTCTAACCTTCAGCCTTGAAGGTTTTCTCTCCGCAGCTCCTCGTATTTTACTTTTTCTGAACTCCTTGGACTTATTTTATTTGAAGAGAGACTGGAGACAAGCTTCACACATTCCCCCCTCTGATGTCTGTACTAAAATTATAACCACAGAGCTGCTTAGTTCAGTTTCAGTTTAATCTAAATCCCAGTGGGGCAAGTAACCAGCTTTCTGGCAAGAAGTACTGACGGCTCCCAGAGTTTGGAATAATGAGTTATGACTTCTGAGAGTCTGTGTTTGATGTCCAAAAGTTTTTGAAGCACAGCATTAAAGCCTAATCTCCCTTTTCCATCTCACAAAAACTAATGCACCGCTGAAAGTTTCTGAAATATATCTGCCTCTGATACTCAGGTATGTCCACGCCTTGTATTTGGGCGTGCAGAGCCGCTGGCACGGAGACCCAGAGCGGCGTCACTACTATTGGCGCATGATGTTTGAGAGCGCTGATATCAGCATGCTTCGTCTTCTGGAGTCCTTTCTGAAGAGCGCCCCTCAGCTCGTGCTGCAGCTCACCATCATGATCCGGGCCAATCAGGTGCTGCCCCTCCAGGGTAAGTGCCCCCAAAACGACCAATCACCACAGCCATCATGCACATGATCACATCAGTCAGTCATGAGTCTGCAGCCCACACTGTACGCACGCTGTGAGCGATGAGTCACTTGAGCTCGCCTCAATCAGGCTCCCACTGAGATGAGGGAAGTGCATTTTCTTTCTGTGCTACATGGTGAGACAGTTAACTCACAGCCATTTCCATCCCATCTTACTCCTCTTGCCAAATCTCTGTCTCTCTTCCTCCCTCTTCTCCGCTCTCTCCCCAGGGCTTTCAGCTTCTGCCTCACTGATATCCCTCGCCTGGATGATCTCCTCCTACCAGAAAGTCCTGAGGGACTCCCGAGACGATAAGCTACCCATGACCTACAATGCAGTGATAGTTCAGATTCTGTGGCACTTATTTACCATCGGAGCTCGCACACTGGCGTTTGCCCTCTTTGCCTCCGTGTTCCAGCTTTACTTTGGCATCTTCATCGTGGCCCACTGGTGCATCATGACATTTTGGATCATTCAAGGCGAAACGGACTTCTGCATGTCCAAATGGGAGGAAATCATCTATAACATGATGGTGGGTATTGTCTATATCTTCTGCTGGTTCAGCGTCAGAGAGGGGCGCACCTGCTGCAGGATGCTCATCTACAGTCTCACTGTGTTTGTTGAGAATGTGGCGCTCACCACCTTCTGGTACCTGTACCGCAGCACTGGCGAGCGCCAGAGTACCTTAGACTTATACGCTGTCATGATGGTGTGCGTGGTGGCCAGCAGCTACGCTCTGGGCACCTTCTTCATGTTTGTGTATTACTGCCTGCTGCACCCTGACGGTGCAGTTTCAGGGTGTAGTTACATAGTGGAGAAGGAGGTGCCCGTGGAGGCTCTGGCCTCGCCAGCCTCCAGCCTCCCTCCTGACCTGGTAAGCAGCCCTCCCAGGACCCTTCAGAGAACTAAAGGGTCAGACAGAGAGCCGGGGATAGATGGGGATGTGTTTAAGGTGCGGCCACCTCGGGGAGCTCAGACCCCAGTGCCTCATCTCACACCCAGGACAGAGGGCCCCGTCATCCGGATAGACCTGCCCAGGAAGAAGTACCCCGCCTGGGACGCTCACTTCATCGACCGTCGGCTGCGTAAAACCATCCTGGTGCTCGAGAGTGCTGCCCCCGTTACACCGAGGATTCAGTACCGCTGCCTGAGCACTCCCAAAGAAGTGATGGAGTACGAAACCACCGTGTAATGCGCCGATGGTGCTGTGACTCAGCTTGTTCCTGTGTGGACATCCTGCCTTAAATAAAAATGGCAGGAGGATGACTCTCACTGAGTGGTCAGTTTTAGCTCCACACTTACTTAACGGCTCTCTGTTCTGGCCACAAACAGCCACATCAGGGGATGGAGTGTTGCGTGTTTACTTTCTACATGGGGCAAGATTCTGCGATATTGTCTGGTGACGGTGCATATTTTGGTTTCTGTATCATTTCTCAGGTCAGGATGTGTTACAGAAAGATATGGAAGGTAGAGAGGATCACAGGCAGGCAGAGAAGTGGAGCTGTTATCAGTCAGAGGCAGAAAGTCCTCCTCGGCGAAGGTGCTTCAGCAAATCCTCGTCAGGTGGTCGACAACAGAGACAAGCCTTCAACATGCATGATTATTTATGGCAGCTAAAACTCAAACATCACCGAGTGAGTAGGTAGACTCGCACTGCATTTTTAAACACCATCTTATGTACACGCAGCACAGGTAGTGGTCTCCCGAATCACAATTTTCCATAGCTATTCACTCATGTTGAAGGAGTCTCTGAAAATGCTGTTTCTAATCCGAAGGGCACATCAAAAGCAACATTTGAGTTGAATGTAAAAACAGTTGAAAATGTGATTATTTGTGACAAGGCTTTGAGCATTTTCATGCTGTTAGTGGGATTGTCATCATTCCTGTGACACTATATTTGTTTTTTGTTTTTAAGGTAAGCTATGTGCGTGTTTACAAGCAATCTGTTATTTTGGGGACATGCCATCACTATTATAACAAGATGCACCTTCCTCCAGAATGTGTATGTACTGAACACTGCATTTTACAGGACTCAACAGCTGTATTTTCATACTGCATCCACCTTCCACAACAAAAACAAAACAGGACAGATAATAATTTACATGTAAAATACTGTAAAATGAAGAAGTTGTTGCAGAGGGACAGCACTGTCTGTATTTGTACTGTATTCATATTTTGTTGTCTGAACAGTGTTTAAAAAATAGCTGCAGACTCCTAACAGAATAGCTTTGATATTACAGGCATGTAGTACTTTTGGTAGCCCTTTATTTTGCCAGTCTGTGATTTTCTAATAATTTCCTCAAAAGCTTTTTAGGACTAGTTTTGTAGTTTGGCACAAGCAGATTAATAACATCCAGAGAAATTTTAGTGAACATATTAAAGCACAGCATTAAAATCACTTGTCTAACTCCTCTTCGCAGATCTTTTGGGTCTTATAGGGTGTGGGGCATACCCCCTGTTAATTGGGTGTGTGTTGACACATCACTCTAGAGCACAATCCTATTAGGATCTGGGAAATTTGAATGCTGGCGTTCCTCCTAGGGCTGTTTATTGTGTTCCTTGAAAATGAGAAAGGCCATGTTTGGTGCATGGTACATAGTCTGGTTTGAGGAAATCACTGCTACAGTAGCAGAGATGTGAACAGAGGCAAACAGACTGTTGCCTCTGTTCACAAAACAGACTCCTTTTGCGCTGTGTTGTGAAAGCCTATTGGCCGAGAGTCTCCCAAAGAATTAATTCTGCTGACGACAATCAGAAAGTGATGACAAAGCTTTTTGGTGCCATTCGTGGGCAGCTGAGAATCTTCAGCTTCACTTTTATATAAAGAGGAAAGAAAGAGAGCGCTTGGAGAAAACTAAGCAAAATCACAGGACCCTTGTAAATTGTGGAAATATTGTACTTGTTACTTAAATCCAGAGTCGTTCTTCTTTTGTCTGTAAGGGGCAGATATTTGAAAAAGGGACTTTATTCTTTTGAGTAAAGCTCAAAGTTACATCCACGTGAATTCCAGTCCACCCGTTACAGTTTTTTACAGGTTTTTTTTGTATATATAATTCATTCATTCTACGCTAATTATTGTAAACAGTGTTTTTGTATTTGTAGACAAATTGCCAACAGCTTTACACGTTTTGTTGACCTCCTGAAGGTTTTGGATGCATTCTTGTAAACTGTGCATGTGGAGACCGAAAGAAGGACTGGGTTTGCAGTCAACTATCACCTGAAGAGGATTTAGCTTTTTAGAAGCTTTTATTTTAAAGTCACCTGCATAAAACAGTGATCAGTGCATGTAACTGGAACTCTTGGCCCAGATATCAGATATGAGTGAGCCCTTTTTTATTACAATTTACCCCAGTGTAATAGCAGTTTACAAATTCACCTAACAAATTAAAGCTTTCCAGTTCGGACCCTTGTGGTTGCGGGGCATCCAGCATATAAAATCTGCCAAATCAAACATGCAGCACTACCTCCTGTCACGACCCCGTGAATTAGGGAGCTGCTGAAAGTAGCACCACCCGAATTGAAATAATTGTTACAAATGGACTGTTCAGCACAGTCCATTTTTAACTATTAGTGACAAATTACACTGAATTAAAGTCATTTTACATGAATCTTTTGAGGAAATTATTTTTAATTAATGGACTTATAAAATAAAGTTTTACCTTCCTTTCTTTTATCAGGGTTGTTTTTCTATAGAATAGTCACACAGGAGAGATTTTCTGACTTTTGTGTGTGCTAGTGTGTGTGTGTGTGTGTGTGTGTGTGTGTGTGTGTGTGTGTGTGTGTGCGCGCGCGCAAGCTCACATACCAGCATGTGTATGGGTGTATGTGGGAGAGTCCTGCCGTGTCCATTTAAATAATTTGAAGCTGTGTCTATGACAGTTTTGTTGTAAACACCGTCCTTTAAGCTGGTTTTTCCCAGATGGCAGAAACAAAAGAGAAAAAAAAAGACCACAGAGCACCTTTACCACGCCTGCTGCAGTCAAAGAAAAAAAAAGCCAGAGAGGCTTTGATTATGGTGCTAACTCAATCCATCAATAACAACCACACAATGTACCATAAAATGAGTTTGTTGTGGCAGGAGTTGGGTGGGGCTGTACCTCAAACACAAAAGCTAGAATCTAAAAGCCTTAAGCTGGTCATGCCAGACTGTTGCTGTTCAGAGCAAGAAAAAAAAGATGGAACAAGAAGGTGGAGATGATTTCATGATGTTGTTGTTGCTAAAATAAAGAGCAGTGTGTTTACCTGACTATCTGTTATTATCTTTTTGCATAGATAGAGGGTGAATGACTGTAATGAGTCGGAACAACAGGCTAGATGTAGGCAAACAAACATTGATTTTAGTCAACCAAAACATGATGAAAGATAAAATTCTATCCATGTGCATGTTTCAACCTGCAGCATGTTGATAGAGGTTGATATTATCAAGACTCAAGACTTTTTTTTTTTTTTTTACATTGATTTAATACTTCAGTCTTACAGTTGGTGGTGAGAAGTTTACATACACTTGTCACGGGCATCAATGTCACGGTAGTTTGAATGAACTCTACTAAGAAAAAAGGTCAATTATTCAGCCAGACTTATGGCAGAAGCAGGTTACAAAAAGTATTGATCGATTTGCAACTTTCTAAGAGATATTTGATCAAATGTTAGTGGAGGTGAGTGCATAAATTGAACCTGTATGTTTACTTTTAAGCCTGTTTGGATTAGAGAAAACCTGTGCACCCAATTCTTGTTTTTTTAAGTCCTTATAGATGTAAGCTGTACAACCATTCCACTCTGAAGAAAAATCACTTTAAAGAAATCAGCAAAAGCCCCAAATTACCACAAAATTCATGCCCATGATAAGTGTATGCAAACTTCTGACCACAGCTGTAGATAGATACTTCAGAGGCAGATCGACAGATTGTTCTGATTAGATTGAGTCTTAATCCCATCTCTGCAGGGGATCAGTGGATTATCAGTACTGAAGTTGTCAGTACTACCCACATCTCCAAACATCAGCACAACACAATCTGCCCCCTCTTTGGCACGCTGCTTGCAGTGTAATTCCCTTAAATGGTGAAGGAAGGAAAGGACCTATTGATTGCTCCCACTCAGGAGATGGAAAAGCTTTCACACTTCAGTTTCTGTCTCGGAGAAACACTCACTACGAGACTATAAGTGTGGAACCAAAATGCAAATATTGTGCTAACCGTCCCATTAACTGTGATTGCTGCAGTACAATGAGATAACAAGCAGCCGAGCTGTCTTTGATCTCACAATTACAGTCTCACGCTCCCACTGACTTGTTCACAAATGCTAAATAGGTGCTGCTGTAATTTTCTCAAAAGCCAAACAATAGTGTGAAAATATCACTTCAACATTTATTTCTCCTAATGAGTCACAACTGTAAAATCACAGGCAACCATACAAAGACGAGGAATTTTTTTCACAGCTGTCAACGACATCCTGAGGAAAGCTATCTGGGGTGTGAACAAAATGAGGAGGAGGAGCGCTAAAGCGATGACAAGATCAACTGATATCTGATCTATCATAAATTAAAATTTAAAAAGTAAAGAAGAAATGGCAGAAACACCCTTCAACCATGTTACAAGCTTTAATGTTCAATAGTTTGTCCACCAGAGGGCACTGTGCAACTTGGTGCCATATGTTTAGAACACCACAAACACAAGAAACAGCTGATCTGGGCAGAGTGTAACTGAGTAATCCACGACTTGTGACAATAAAACAAAATTATTACATGGTTACCAGTTTTAAATGAAGTGTTAAAATGAACAATTTCCCCACAGCAACGGGGTTTGTCTCCACTACAGCCCCCTTTTTATTAGTACCTGGGTCAACTCGACACAGTTCACCACAGTTTTCGGGGTTTTCAATTAAGTCATAGTACCTGGTACCAGGTGCCTGTTTAGTACCTGCTTGGCTGGGGTTCCAAGCATACTGAGCAGGTACTAAAATGTGACATCATCAGACTCCATGCCACCGATTTGCTGATCAGTAGCAATGAGTCTTGAGAGGATCTAAAAAAAAATCAAAACCGCCATTTTTGAGGGAACAAGGGAAATGGCTACAAAAAACAAAGCCATGGTCCCCCGAGTCTAACAAAAACCACAGCTCGAGCAGCAGGCATATTCTTGCATCAACGTCCACCTTTGTTCTAGCATTCATGTCGCGTAATAATTATGGCACAGGATGCTCTGCAGCATTACTATGACGACAACCACACACACTAGGTGGTACTGGATTGTAATGAAAAACCAGTCGATCCGAGTTGAGTCGTGGCGATCTGTGGCGATACATGACCGATCTGTGCCGAGTCCATCCAAGTAGGTACTAATGGAAAAGGGGCTTATCGGGCTGGGGCTTTTCTTTGTGACTTTTGCATGTTTTCCCCATGTCACCCATTGTCTCTGGGTACTCCAGCCTTCTCCAAAAAACTTGCAGTTAGTGGGGTTAGGTGAATTGTCTTTCTGTATTAACTCTGCAACAGACAGTCAACTTGTCCAGGGGTCATCCAGCTAGGATAGACACCCCTGCAACCCTGAATTAGATAAGCATGAAAAAATGGTTAGGTTAGCAAGGACTCATAAATAATTACACGTAACATGTGTGTCAATAGAAAATTGTACTTAGTAGTCAGTATAATCTTTTAATGATATAAGTTTGCATATGGTAGAATACTGCATGTAATCATTAGTGTTTAGAAGTATATAGTTGGTGGCATATTGAAAGAATGTCTCATCCTAGGAGGTCTGTGACATTCCAGGGTGTTCTGGCTTCACCCCCACATCCTAGGAGTATGGGAGAGGTCGTACCTTGTCTTATTGTTTTACGGTAGGATTAATGTAGCTATATCTGTTCTAGTCTAAGTGCTTTTTGTTTAGATGATTTAGGGAAGTCGTTTATGGGGTCACACACCGGGGCAGTTTCTCAATGCGAGTCTCAGTTTCTGGAGGCTGCCCTTGCTAGCAAGAAGTTCTGTGTGTTTCTCTTCTCTGAGTCTTTACTGAAGAAGTGTTTTAGAGTATATTTCTTAACAATGTGTTAGAAAAATCTGTTTATTTTTGTGAATCTAGATGGAAAAATATCGACAGATATATAATATGTTAAATCAGAAAATATCAGCACTGGTATCAGTATCAGTCTTTAAAAATCCTGTATTGGGTCACGCTCTAATGCAGACACAATATTTAAGTAAAAGAATAATGAAATACTTGGATTTTATTCACCAGAAGTGAAACACAAACTTCTTAGATGGTCCGGCCCACACAGGAAGTCATAATGTTTGTTAAATAATTCAAACACAAAGGAGAGATCCAGTTAAAAAGTGAGTCCTAGCAGACAGCTCCCAGCTACAGTTACCTGGGTCATCATTCATTCACCCACACATCTTGAGTCATTCCCAGGCCAGATGAGATATGTAATGTCCCCAGTGAGTTCTGGCTTTACCCTGGGATCCTTTCCAGTTGGGTGTGCCTGAAAAAAACCCCAAAGGGAGGCATTCGTTCACCTATTAATCAAAGCAGGACTTTAGGCCGTACTAGCATTCAAGTGGATGACTTATAAATAAGTGTACACTTGTTATCAATAGGAAAATGATCCAAAGAGAACAAAAGTGTTTTTGTGCAAGGCTGTCAACGTGCTTTGCTATAGCTAATGCTATAAAGTTGGACATTTTAAGATGGCAGTCTTTGGAGACTGATTCACTTTTGGAGTCAGCCTCAAGTTGAACCCTAGAGGAAGTGCAGTTTTTTTTGACACTGTTGCATTGGCTTCTTTCAGCTCCAGAGACTGCTGCTTGAATATAACACATCTAGAAAAAAATGTTTGCTTCCTTGTTGATTTTCAGACTTTCTTTTATGATAAAACACCAAAACATTCATAGAGCTTGAATGCTCAATAAGAGTGGAAAATTGCTAAATAAATGTCAATAAGTACATTATCAACATTTGTAGATTACACCAGCTTGACTGAATGTTTTAGGAATCGCATGTCCATAAATGGCCGATAGAATCTCTCAATCCAGCCAACAACATTCAAATTCAAATTCAAATTCAAATTTTATTTGTCACACACACACAACCATACACAGTATGACATGGGGGTGAAATGCTTGTAGCTGTACAATGCCCGACCATTAAATGACAGAAGAAAAGTTTTACAATATTTACAATTTACAGTTTACTACAAAAATTTACAAATTAACTTAGGAATTTACAGTAAAGAATGTGCAAATAGCAGAAGAGATTATAAAGATAAGGATTATAAATTATAGGAATTATAGGATTATAGGAAATGTGTGGTGGTGCGTGTGGTGACGTGTGTGAGAGTCCAGTCTTATAGTGACGTGTTTGGGAGAGTCCAGTCCTACACCTGGTTCAGGCCCCATACATAAAAATCAAATAAAACTCCCAAATCAGTAAGATGCAGCGCTATGCTAAACACACAGAGGTAACTGACGGCAAAATTCTTTAACTCATTTAAACTGCAGTGTATTTCATCAGAGACCTATGCAGTGTTGCATATCAGACACCTAGCCAAATTGAAATTATTTAAATGCAACTGGAGCCTTTAGGTGGATCTGGCAATTCTATTCAGGCCCTTCGTTTAATATTCTTAATAAAATTTGTTACCATGTTTTGATGTGAAAAAACACTCACCCACCTTTGATTACATTGAACACATTTTTTTTTAAAAAAAAGAAGATTGTTAGATCAATTCATTAGTTGTTAGACCTTGATGCCCTCGGACTGAAAAATATTTATGCATATTCTGATTGATATAACTGATATAATTGATTAGTTGTCATATATAAAAGCCATTGAATATTTCCTTTGTTACTAGCCCCCTTCCCACTATAACATTACAGCCAACCAGGTACAAGAAACTAGAATATTTTGGTGACTATATCCAATCCCCTATCAGTATTTACACGATTTAATTTGCATAATCACCCTCAAAGCCAATCAGCAAACAGAGAGGTGGGGCAAATATGCTCTTACCGGTTTCGCTTTGCCTTTTCGTTCAACTGCCACATTTCAAACTAGAATGGCGACCGCTCTCTGCGGTCTACAGTCCACTGGCAGTAAATCGGCAAAGACTCACCAAGACCAGCGCAGGAAAGCGAAGGACTCCCGGCGAAGACAGGCTGCTCTGCTGTTTCTCAGTAATATCTCACTCGACGGACGACCCCAGTGTCAACCTAGCGATGGAAATGTCGACCAGAAAGCCGCTGAGGAGCCCCGACCCAGGGACAGAGACTGCGGTGCCGCTGTTGTGCCCCAGCCGTCGGATAGTCAAGGACCTGTCGCCCAGGTGACAGACGTCGCCGCAAGCGGTAGTGGCTCATCCTCCAGTTTCCCAGGGGTGGTCGGTCCGGGTGGACCTTCTTTGGTAATGTCCGGGCCAGGTGCTGTTGGAGCTAACGAGGTATTTTTGGATAATACCAGTGCGGCCGAGACGCTAACCCCAGACACTCCTCTTTCTCCCGTCCCGACCGGACACCCGCACTGCTCCCGTGTCAAGTCAACGCCCGCCGCGCTCAGTCCCGTCGGTGCCGGTAATTCTCTGGATTCACGGCAGAGGTGAGCACATTAGTGATTTATGTGTCAACATGGGCCTTTAGACGGGGCTGCTGACTTCCGTAAGAGACGGCACCAGCTGGTATCTTCGGGGGAAGTCACTTTGATTTTAATGGGTTCCAGCATTTTCGGTATTATTAGCTATCAGTAGGTCTAAATGTTAAACACGAGCACTTAAATCAGGGTTATGTCTCTGTAATCTGGTCAAAAGTGTTCATTTGTGTCCTGAATTAAAACGATAATGTAACATGTTCTATATTCATGTCAGAAGTTGGGGAATTCCTTTGCTACGCCAGACAAAAACGATCAACAAAACATATGACATGACAAAACAGAAGCTGAAGTAAAATAAAGGAACCCATTTTTTCATGTATATGTATACAAAATATAATAATAAAAGTGTGAATATAATATAATCATAATCGCAACAGAAGTCTGTATTAAAAGCTATATGTAATACGAAGAGGAACAGAATGAATAAAAGTCTAAAGGTAATTTTTTAATTTCAATAGAACAAATAACGTGAAATAGCTCAGTGCATGAAATAAAGCACATTTTTTATCACTCTGTGGTGAAAATACTCCAAATAATTCGCCTTTACCTCCAAACCTATAAGGCAAAGAGATTTGTGATTACAGTGAAAGTCCTAACACGTGCACACTCTTTGTTTGGGTTATGTTGTGAAAGCATTATTAATTAAAGTGGTGTTTTAATCAGGCTGAGGAATGTCTCTGGCTCACCGGGACCCAAAGTGCCAAAGAAAGTCCACTTCATCAAGAGTATGAGGCAGTACGATACCCGAGGATCCAGGTGAGTCTCAGAGCAGTGTTTGTACACATATTTCCACCCAGATTTTAGCAGAGGAATGTAAAAAAAAATGCAGAAAAATCTGTCTGTTTAATTTTTAAATAGGCCTTAAATATAGCAGCGTTGTACTCCTCTGTAATAAGCTGCTTATCTGGTGCACAAGCTGCAGAGGAATAACAGGGATACAGCTGCAGAGTTGCGATTGCTAAAGTGAATTTAATCACCCCTGGAAGCTTAGCAAAAGCCAAAAGAGGTGCAGTGTGGAAATTTAACACCCCATTACGGCAACAGTAAGGTAACCCAGAGGGGGCCAGGGAAATGAAATGCCACACTGCTGGCAGCTGGTTGACCACAACAGCGAAAAAAGAAATATTCTGTCTGTAAACTTTGGCACAAACATGTCAAATAATTATTATTTTTTTTAATCGATTATCTTACTCCCCATTTGCCATCCAACATCCACTGTCTACTTCATATCCATCCCCACATGCATATATATGTGTGTTCAGTGTTTTCTGCTGGTGCGTGCAAACCAATGACAATCCCAAACTGTCCCACAGGTTTGGCTTTCTGTTTCAGTTTGAGGCAGACACACATTGAGTGTTACTTCCTGAGCTGAAGGGAAGCTCTCATTTAGAGTTTATACCATAAGGTAATTAGCACTAATAGAAGTCAGTGTTGTAATACTGTCCCCCCCCCCCCAAGAGATTTGGTATCTCTCCGAGGGTCAGCCGGGCTGCGTGTTTACAGCTGAGTGTTGGCAGTGGCTGCTGACTGTATGTTATTGATGTCTTTTTGTGGGGAGCTGTTTTTAGTACGTACTGGTTGTGGTGCTGCTCAGTAGATCAGTCTGTTTGTCTGCATTTCTGTCAGCACAGAGGAGTCCTCGTGAGTGTTTACTGTGTTTGCTGGTTGCCTGTTCCTGGTTTGAATGAATCCAGCTGTAGTTTCAGCCTCTTGTGTGTTACCAATACATTCGAGTTGCACAGAGGTTTATGCACTATATATAAGAAGAAACACAGAATCAGCTAATCTGAGTTACAAACCCCAAAATATATAGAAGTTGGTCAATATGGCACTTTTTAGGTCGCCTTAATGTTTCTGCAACCCTCATATTGTACCAGAGATGGCTGAAAAACACATTTAAGGTCTGTTAAAGTTTGAGCATCGATATCTTGGGATATTATAATGTCAAGAGCAGAACCGCTCTAGTTATATGTATATGTATAAATATAAAGATTTGTGTAATGTAGAATAACAGAAACAAGCCGTGCGTTGGATGTTTTATCTGTTTTCTCATATTTCACTGGAGAAAACTTTAGAAACTGTTTTTAGGGTGAACTTCTCAAAGGTCAAATCATCATGCGGGAAAGGTGGCAGCTGAAAATCATTCCACTGAAAATCAATCAGTGGCTCCCACCTGACTCCCTCATAACCAGCTGTAAAATAGAACGAAAATCACCAATATTCAGAGTTATGGACTCGCAAAGTATAGAAGTGTGGGTCTATTAGCCAAAGGCTTAGGCTTCAGACTACCAATACATGTTTCAGTCATTTTTTTTCCCCGAATGCTGGCTCTATGAGATGTCACTGAGAGCAGATATCTCTCTACTCACATGGATCTTGCCTTTCAAACACTCATTTACTAGGGGCAACCATTCAGAAGAATGCTGTCTCACAGGGAGCTAAATCAGCTTGTTTCAGTAAGATAAATAGGGATTATTTTCAACTGTGAATCACACAAAGCGCTCTAGTAGAGCCTAAGGACAAAATATGGAGCTGGAAATGAGCAGAACACGTCCTCTTTAAAATATTAATTGAATATTTGCAGAGTTGCTGTTATTAAAGCAAAGATAACGCTCTCAGTATTGGCATACCTGTGGTTTTTATGCCCTGAAAAAACGGATTGTGATCCAGATTTTATGAATACCTCTGTGACTTGAATGTAATGGTTCCCGCCTCCTGCTTTAGGTTGTTGTCGAGAGCTGTGTAGCTTTAGTACTGACAAGCGCAGAAGCGGCTGTGTGACTGATTTTGCCGTCGCTGCAGCTGATGAGTGTTCGTGTAGCTGCAGAGTAGTGGTGACTGTAGCTGTTGCTTGTAGACTGACACACCATCTGTTTTGTCTGCCTGTACTTGTTGTGTCCTGCAGGATCATGCTGATTTGTGCCAAGCGGTCGCTTTACGCTGCTTTCTCAGTGCTGCCCTATGGAGAGAGTTCAAATATCAGGTACAAAGAAAGCACCATCCCAAGCAGAGAGCACCCATCCTTCACTTTTATGTTTCCATCCTCCTCCTGTTTGATCCATATCATTCTCAAAAGGGCAGCGAGTGTGCAGGAGTGGGTGGAACGGTCACATAAATGTGTCTTTTCATGAACAGTGACCCTAAGCTGGAGGCTCAGAGGCAAAGACTCTCCTCGGTGGTGGCTGCTGATCTGCTTCCTTCTCTGGAAGGTGTGGAGATGGGTGCCTGTGGAAAGGTGAGTGCCAGCCTGATGTACTGCGATACCTACAGTATACACACGATTGAAGCTCTGCTTGTGCTGTGACTCATACTCATCTGAGACTAGCACACTGTAACTTGCCACTGAAGATTGTGCACTATATTAAAAACATACCAGACATTGAGTAGATCACTAGATCAGAGGTGGACACATTTTTATTTTCCAGAGCACTTTATTAACTAAATTATGTAAACTCCATGAAACTGGTAGACATATCAGGTTATTTTTTCTGGGTGAAAGTGTTTCCTGCACATAAAGAATTTTTTTTCCTCAATATGGAAAAAAGGGCTGCAACTTTGTGTTTTAATCTGAAGAATTTTGCCTGACTCAAAATGAGCTTATATTGGGTGACCATGCATATAAGCACAGTGCATGTTTACTGCTAATTCTGGATATTTGATAAACATAAAAATCAGTTTTATGCTTGAGTAAATGAGCGCTCTAGCTGTTAAACCTGAATAAATATCAGGTCAGAGTCATTACAGTCAGTTGCCTCGAGATTCATGAACATAGTGCTGCCTTGTATTGATTTTTAATTTATTTCATTTATTTATGTATTTTTGGGACTGGGAGTGGACGTCGGGGACCAAACTGTGATGATTTGCAGGCGGCTTCTATCCTTCGAGCTGTACTTTGCTCATCTGTGCAGTATATTCAGAGTTTGTGAAAACTGGATTGCCCTTTTTGGGGGGGAATTGGACGAGCAGATTGTTGTTTGGTTTCTTTGTGTTTGTTTGTTTGTTTTTATTGTAACTAAATATACTGATGAAAAGGTAGATACTTGACTGTCTCGTTATTCCTCAGACGGTGTCCTACGCTCAGTTTCTTTATCCAACCAATGCCTTGGTGAGACAAAAGAGCGGTGGCAGCAGCAGCGGTGGTCCACCAGATAACTGCACAGCCCAGACCCCTCAGTCACGTCTCCGAGGCAACGGGCAGAAGGGCTTCACCCCTGCTCGTCTGAACAACAGCGCGGCACAGGACCCATGTATGAAGCTTACAGATGTGTGCCTGCATCTTGATCCTAACCGACCGGAGCCGTAATTATTCACTCGTGTGTGTGTGTGTGTGTGTGTGTGTGTGTGTGTTTTTTTTAATTTCAGATGTGGAGGAGGTGGCGGAATATGACCCAAACCTGCTCAGTGACCCTCAGTGGCCCTGCGGGAGACACAAGCGGGTTCTCATATTTGCATCATACGTGGTGAGTGAGGCTGCAGCTCTTACTTTCATTATCAGCTAGTCGGGGAGTTATTTATCAGATCGCAGCAGATGAAACCAAGCAAAACAAAAAGAAACTCGGGGGGGGGGGTTCATCTTACAAGCTAACTTATAAACACCGAAACACAGGTTTATAATAGAGGTGGTGTTCGTTCATCATCGGTTCGTCTGTGGTGTTGTTTTTGCCATCAAAACTCAACTAATTTTAACTGAGGAAATAGCATCCATGTCTCATTCACATTTTGTGTTGAGTTCAGAGTTATTCAGAGTTCTTATTTCAGAGTTCATCCACTCTGAAATAAGGCATTTACCACCCCTCCTGCTTCCCTTTAAGCCATCTTCATTCTTATTGGCTGTCCTTCCTCTGGTGGGTGGGCCAGAGGTGTTAATATTAGAAATCTTTGGAGAATTCTCTGCAAATTTGGCTGTAGGAGTCCCAGGAGGAAAAAAACCCTCATAAAAACTTTTTAAGTGTTTCTTTTTTTTAATCAGCTTAGACCTGTGATAGTTATAATTGCATTTTTATGTCCCTATCCCCACTGAAATTATAGGAACTTTAGATAATGCTTAAAAGTAAGTTCCCAGAGGAGTTCCAAGGCCTCTGTGCTCACAGCCTGAGCTGAGTGCCTGTTTTAGCAAACTAGAGATATTCTCTCCCTTGGACATCATATAAAAAACCTTCTGAGCATACGCCACCTTGCTCCATTAAATCATCTGCAGCATGTGACAGAAACTAAAAGGTCCAAAATCTAAAAATGTTCGGCTGATAACCTCATAGCAGTTACAAACGAGAGCAAATGCTGACTGGAGCTGAGGCTGTTAAATGTTTAACTCTGTATCTGTATTGCTGGGGATGAGAGAAACCTGATTTTACAGTGAGGTTTGTCCTCGAAGGAGGCGCTTTCTCTGCCATGTGAATGGATAACCAGGTTACTAATAAACCTTTCCACAAATGCAATACAAAAGACTGGAGACATAGAAAGTAACAGTGGAGCAAACACAGAATGACAACACAGAAAAGTAAATGTTTGTGTGCACGTTTGTTCTTACGACTCAATCCAAAACTCCCAGATGTCTGCAGAAGTCTCCCAAAGCATTTCTTACTTAAAAAAGCATCAGAGGATATAAAAAAAAAAATCCAAAATAGTTTCCCTCATGTTTTTGTATCAGATTCCAGTCTGCCACAAGTCATTTCACATCCAAAAACTTGAAATGGGATTGTTGCAGCAGTGGATTGTGTTTGCAGGAGGCTGCTCAATATGTTTTTGTGCAGTTTCATTCAGCACCACCACACCCAGAGCAAACACTGTACATGCTGCTAGCTATAGAAGCTAACCCGCCTGTTAGTTTCTAACAAGAGATGACTTCTGCAAATAGCTACATAAATAAACTTGGATCCAGGTGGGGCTCAGTTGATGAATTTGTTATTAATCTTTGCTGGAAAGTAATGAAAAATATATACAATGAGAAATGATTCAAGGCACGGCTGTTCCTCTGGTTTTCCATGACGCTGTGGGCCGTGATTGTACACAGTGTTACATATTAAAAAAAAACGTCATGTCTGGAAAAAATTTTTATTTTAATAGAGTTAATATATTCACTGAAGCATGCAAAATGCTACCTTCATAATATAGTTACAGAGTTACAGGCCCTCAGATTAGACACAGAGTGGTTGAGATTTGGCATTTTATTATTTTTATTTACCTTTTTTAAGTATATTTGAGCCCCATGACTTCATAAATACAGTAGATATCTACATGAAAATTTTCAAAGCAGAAAAAAACAATCACGTTGTCTAATTATACCAACACGGAGGGAATCACGACTAGGAGATCAACCTGACACTTAAAAAGAAGACATTTCATGTGACATAACCTATTATTGGCCAATTATCAATCCCATGATATGACCGTGAGATGACCCTGAAAGTCTACCCAAAATGCACTTTTTAAAGTGTTCTTCGGTAAATTATTAGAAACCAGATCAAACATCCAGGGTACCAATGCTTGTTTCTGTTCTCAGCATCACAGATATTAAGTTGCTATTAGCAAAACTAACACCAGACTTATAATCACATTGGCTAAAATATCACGCACCTTGAATTATTTATTTATTGTAATTTTCAGTAGTTTCCAGGAAAAAGTATTAATGAATGTATGAAATGACCCCCACTTGGAGTCAGATGAGGGATTCTGAGAGGGTCAGCTGATTTTATCTTATTCTGTTTTTTTTGGGTTTTTTTAATTGAATGACCCACGTTTAATTTTATATATAAGGGCAGATGTTATACTGACAGGACTGCACAGATTCATGTTAAAGGTTTTTTTCATGTGACTGGAGACATGATGATACACAGGTCATAAATATCCCCACACTTTCATTTTAGTCTCTAAAGCTTGGCTGCTGGAAGTTTAATATGACGGTAAATGTATGACAGTCAAAAAAAGCACAACAGGGCTTCTTTGATAGTCTTAAAATGAGCTTGTTGAGTCGTACAGAAGCTCAAAGTGTAGACGACTGTGATGGAAAAGCTCCCGTCCTCTCACTCTCTGCTCTGTTATGTGTCCTCAGGCTTACAGTAACCATGTTTTCTACAGCAGGTGTGAACTTTTCTCTGTGACCGAGTTTCTCTGAGTTTCCCTGGTTCTTTGTCTCGCCCCATGTGTCCTCCTTTGTTTCAGAAATCAGGACAGGCCAGTTTCATTTGCCTTGTAAATTGTTGTAAAGCAGTTCTGCAGTCATGTTGAAGAGTAAATAAACCCTTTATCTCCAGTTCACATGATTTTATTGTTCCTCAGCTGACTGCGTCACTCGTCTCTGACCTCCAGCATGAGTGTGCTGGTGAAGCAGTCCTTATCAACACAAGCAAAGCTGAAACGCTTTACTGCGGCTGTTATTCCTGGCAGTTCCATATTGACACGGCGGTTTTGTTTTTCCATCTCTGCAGACGACGGTCATTGAATACGTGAAACCATCTGACCTGAAGAAGGACATGAATGAGACTTTCAAGGAGAAGTTTCCCCACATTAAACTGACACTGAGCAAGATAAGAAGGTGCAGATTTCTCACATTCCTCTCTGATTTTCAGAGTTTGAGCCTTTTAAAGATTCGGCCTCGGTCTGTAATCTGGTTCAGAGTGTACACACAATACGCCCTTCTTAGAAAACTGATGACTGTGACTTCTCACCTCCTCTAGCCTGAAGAGAGAGATGAGGGCCGTGAGCGAGGAGTGCGGCCTCCAGCCGGTGACCATAGCAATGGCTTTTGTTTACTTTGAGAAGCTGGTGCTGCAGGGACGCCTCAACAAGCAGAACAGGAAGCTGGTGGCGGCGGCGTGCGTGCTGCTGGCTGCAAAGATCAGCAGCGATCTGAGAAAGCCAGAAGTTAAACAGCTGATTGATGTGAGTAAAGTTTCCACTCAGAAAACAAAACAGGATGTGTTTAAATGTAACTACCTACCTTTCTCTTCGCGCTCAACTAGTGTGCAGTGTAGTGCTAAAACCAGACTTTAACTGACCCACAATCATATAATGCAGTGCATTCTTCAGGACCAACAGTTGGGAGAAACAGAACAGTTTTCACAATAATATAAACTCAGCTCTGCAGAACATCTGCAGTCTCAAAAAAGACTAAAACCTGTAAATTTTCTTTCACTTAGTTTTTCTAAACTCTTAATTTTCATTTGAGTTAACGAAGATGTTTTATAATAGCAAGTTTTAAGTCAACTGTAATAATCGTGGTCTGCATACTGGCAGCTTTCAGTTGAACTTTTTATTAATGTAAGCTAGCTGTGGATAGCAGCTGAAAACATCAGTGTTATGACTTCTATTGTCATTTTTAACTGTAAGAAGAAACTAATCATTAGTGAAGGTTCAGTTCACTACATTTACTTTACAGGTGGTGAACGGGCCTGCGGGTCCAGTCAGCTGGACCCAAGAACCTTTTCACTGGTTTGGTGTAATAACAGGCATGCAGTGCCATTAAACTAAAAAAAATGAAGAAACATGCACTGCTCTCAAAAAACCCAACACATTTTAAAATCTTATTCGGTGTAAAGTCAGCAAACTAAGTCTCGACTGTGGAGGCAGAATTGTTGAAGCAACTTTAGGTTTAACCCTGTTCTCAGTGTTACATGTTTGGCTCATGTCTTACTGTTATTCCCAAGATCAGTACATACAAAATCTACGCCTACCAGCCAAAAAGTTCTTTGGAAAATGGTGTCGCCTTTCATGGAAGATCAGACCTCAGTTCAAACATAGGCTCCTAATTTTTCCTGTTAGCAGAGGGTCATTTTAAAAATTTTTTATCTTTCTGTGAGCCTTAATACTGTGAAATAGGGCAACTAAATCTTGCACTTACTGACCTTTTATATGAATTTTTCAAGGAGGCTAGTTTGAATCCTGTCTTTCTATTTGATCTGAGAGAACAGTGCTGAAACTGTCTCAGTGTCACTGTTTTAGGAACGCATCACTGTGTCGATGCTTATAAAATATGCATCCAACAGGAGGAAAGGCGAGGAATAAATCTGTTTTTTGATTGATGCTCAACAGAAAGAGATCTAAAGCTGTGCACTGAGGTCCGCAAACTGTTTGTTAGAGATCTGATTGGTCAGTAATTGGTGGTTTCTTACATGCTGAACTCTTATGTTGAACAAAATATGCTTAAAAATAAGTTACCATGACAATGGACCACCTTCATAACACTAAAGAAAACTCAGGGTTGAACCTGAAGTTAGCTTAATAATATGGAGTCCTGCTTCATGGTGCAGGTCTATTTAATAACAAACAAAAAAAAAAAAAGATATCACAGATCATTTAAGTCAACTGTTGGCATGGACAAAGCAACAGGATAAATCATCATCATCACCACCTGTTTCTTCCTCTGTTTTTTCTCTCCGTGGACGAGCAGAAGCTGGAGGAGCGTTTCCGCATAAACAGACGCGAACTGATTCCTCTGGAGTTCCCGGTACTGGTTGCCTTGGAGATGGGACTATATCTCCCCGAGAGCAAGGTCATGCCGCACTACCGAAGGCTGGTACAGCAAGGTTAGACCGGACGTGGCGGAGTAGGACGTGCACACGTGTGGCGTGTCGACCAGTTTATAAGCTGTGGTGTTTGAAATAAATACTTGTGGTACTATTTATTGTTGCTGTACATTAACTAGGTTACACTCGGACTTGATGGCATGTGTTTCTCTCCCTGAATGTCTTTTTGTAGGTGTGACGTTCTCATGTTGATCCAGTCATGAGCTCTATGTTAGAGATGTTCACTGAGCACATTAATGGTGCTTTTATTTTGGTTTCTTGTGGGTTTTTAGGATGCCACCCTGTTTTAACGTCTTTGTAAAGGCACGCTTGTGTGTGTGTGTGTGTGTGTGTGTGTGTGTGTGTGTGTGTGTGTAAAAAAAGAAAAAAAAACTCATGTGCACCTTTCTTGTTACTATACAGCCTGTATAGTATTTATTGTAAAAGACATATTGCTGATTTCTTTTTTAAATGCCTTGTAAACCCACTGTGACGCTGAAGCATTTTTAGCAATGAGCCTGAAACATGACACTGTAGATCGTAAGTGGGAAACATCTTTTCGGGGAGAAGTGGCCTTTAATTTGTTTACGTCCATTCGATATTTGTACTATGTCTCACAATTATCCAGCCAAACTCTCGTATTTACCGCGAATAGTAAGAAAACATCAGACTCCTGTGGCAGCTCTGTGTTCTGACTTTGGTGTTGGTCGTGCTTGTATCCAGTATTTCCACTGTGCTGTGGTGTCACATGCAGAGAAACAGGATGATGGAAGTTTCTTATTTATAGTAAACTTTTTTTTTTTTTTTTTTTCCTCTTGTTTTTGTTTCGTGTCATTACCCAGGGATATGTTTTGTAAAATGCACTGGTTATCTTTTAATTCTCAGGAATTCTTACTTTTTCTTTTCTTTTTTGGTGCAGTCACACAAAAAGGGTTGGAACAAACTATGTAAAATGACCTTGAGAACGTTGCGTCAAAGACATTTTTTCAGGCTTGCAGCCACTCAGTTTCAGTCTTCAAAGAAACTTTGAGTTGCAAGCAGTCTGTTAGAAAATGAATGATGTTAATTATATGCAATCAGTTTGTGATAATGTGGGAATTAACTGTGATTAAATTGGCAAAAATCACAAATTTGATGCCATCTGTTGGATCTACACAAAAATTCACATGAACTGTTTTTATTCAGAGTCCAGCCAGGATCGCGTAGATTTAAAGGATGTGATGTAGTTGCGTGTCCTGTTCCACTCACTGGTGCAAAATGACTCTGCCAACATGTTGCAATCAGTCTGTGTGTTTACCAGTGAGACGGGAATTATTTGCAAACCTCGAGCGAGTCTAAATTTAGAGACTTGCTCCTTTAGAAAAGGTGACCTGCAGTTGAAAGCGTTGGCCCAGATGTTGAGGGTGTAGCACGCCGAACCTTTCTCCAAAAGCTGAACATCGGAGGTTGTCAACTAGTGCGACTGAGCCGTTAATCTTTTTTAAAGTCAAACCCAAAGACGCCGTAGCGATCATCACTGGAAGATTGTGGTGTTTTCATTGTGACTCCATGAATAGATGAACCGGACGGTAGAAACACGTCAAGTACAGACAAAAAGTGCCTGAAATCACAGCGGCAGTGAAATTGTTAATGATCGAAGTGACATTTCTTTGTCTTTCTGTGGTTGATCTTTAAATGTTGGTCTTGTCTGGGAAAGATAATCTGTCTTCTTACTTAATGGTGATTCAGTTTACTGTGTTTGCCTGATGTGATTAAATTAAAAAAAAAAAGTGTTCAAAATAACCGATGTGCAGAAAATGTACGGTTGTTGTCGAATTGTTGGATGATCATTGTGTGTTTACACTGTTCCGTAAAATGAATGTTTTTAAAATATATTTTAAGACACTGAAAAATTAAGTTTGACTTGTCTTCTTGGCTACTAAAACAAAAACGGTCAGACACGAACAAGTGTTTCTATTATTTTTACTGTTCCCTCATGTTTGGACAGGATAGGCTAGTAGCTGACATGCAGGTGGAGTACATGTTCACCCAGTTACATCAGTAGATATTAATTCAACACAGCACTATCAGCTGGGAGTCACACTTTCTACTACATCAACCACAATCTTTACCCTTGAGGTGTGGCGGGAATAAAACTGCAGCTAAGCAGCAAAATAAATACATTAAATAATAATATTTCTTAAAAGAGCGCTCAGTCCAGACTCATGTCTTCATCGTCGTCTTTCTTGTCTTTGGAGTCGCCGTCTTGATCAGACTTTGTCTCCGTCTCCATGGCTTTAGCAAAAGCCTCCACATCTGGAAAGAATAAAGGAGCAGAATTCAAAGCTGGAGCCTGAAGTTATCATGTAGTTAGCTGAGCAGGTTAACCTGGAAGCAATTTCTCATCCACAGTTTAAAGAGCTTTTCTCCACTAAAGTTAAAACAATTACTACATTTCAAATTTTACCTGGACAGAAAATAATTTCTGTTAGCATTTAACACGTTTCGTTTCAAAACTTCACACAGATGCAAACATAATTTTATTTGTTTACTACAAAATTGTAATCTATCGCTGGTTCTTACTGCAACGTTAGTGTCGAAGCATTTTAATATTGTGGCGTTAAGAAGGATTTAAAACAAGTACAGTGTTATTAAAATATAATTAAACTGATTTAATTCAATCAAATATTTAAGTGTAAAAAAAGTCACAAACTCCAAAGTCTGTCAACTAACATCAACCCAGGTGAAATGTTGTTAAGAATATATAAAGTAGCATAATTTGCAAAAATTAAGCTGTCAAAGTTCGGTCTAAACTTAAAACGAAACTTTTTATTAAAAATAAAATCACATGAAGTTGATCTAAAACAGATAAAACCTACAGCTATTCATGGATTATTGCTAATGTAATATTTGCCTTGGTGTACTAAGGCCCAGTTTCAGCTCCTTTGTGTTTCTTTGTTGATCAAAGGCTGATTGTTAAAGTTTTTCAAATGATCAATCACATTAGCACAGCTGCTGAACTGATTAAAGCAGGATTAAATCAGACTGTCATCGACATCACTAATCTTAAATAAAACAGAATTGAAGCATTCTTGTTCCAACAATTTGCAACTGTTCCATGTGGGGACTCAACACAAAGGAAACGTCAGATTTCATACGACACTGTGTACGAACAGAAGCTGGAGGTGCACAGCGAAGTACATGCTGCTCAGCGGGCAGCTTCATTAAATCATACGCATGAGAGAGATTTTTTCTGGCACGCTCCTGCACAGAAAGGCTTTCATCTTTCATTCCAGTATTACAATTTAGGCCTTGCAGGAATGTGGCAGTTTCTATTGAGGCTGAGTGACGCACATTTCATCATTACAGGGCGAGCAGGAGGCCCCGCGCGGACGTCAGCGTGCCCTCTGATTTGTTGCGACACATAAATGGACCAACTATGCGTCTGTCATTCAGGCAGATTTAAAAAATTATATATATATACTTCTGCATGTGTGCCCACCTGCATGGAAAACTAAACTCAGCCTAAGAAGAAGAAACTGAAAAAAATGTTTTTAACGATATACTAAAACCCATAAAGAAAACTTCTGGACTTCACTTTTGAAGCATAAGTGTTAGTATCCTGGCCGCCCTCCACTCAACGTTGATTCCTCACAGTCAGAGGTGACCATATTTTGTAGAGAAGGTGGTCTCCTAAGCCTCAAGGCTGGTTTAAATTTTTATTACTTGTTTTAAGAGTCTCACTGGTTTGGCGCCACCCTCTTGAGCAGCCCTAAAATCCTCCCAGAGCCCTGATGCTACATTACAAACCTACTGCTCTCAGACATTCACAGAGCCAAGCTCCACAGCGATGCAACAGAACCTGCTCAGTCACTAATTCACTTTAAAACACAGTCTTCCTCCCACAAAGACAGCATCTGATAAGCTCCCCAGTACCCTTAATGTCAAGTTTGAACATCTCAGTATATCAATAAAACATGTAGATTTGCATCCATTAGAATAACTTCTAATGGCTTTTTTAACCCTCACGTCATACTTTAACATCTGTGTAGCACGTTGGTGAGCTGAGCTTGTTTTAGATGTGCTGTAGAAATAGACTTTGACCTGACTTGTAAATAAAAAAAAAACTAAGCACAAGCTTATTGGACGGGCTCTGTCGCACAGCAGATACAGTGGTATGCAAAAGTTTGGGCACCCCTGATAATTTTCATGATTTTCCTTCATAAATCATTGGTTGTTTGGATTAGCAATTTCATTTAAATATATCATATAGCAGATGAACACAATGATATTTGAGAAGTGAAATGAAGTTTATAGGATTTACAGAAAGTGTGCAATAGTTACTTCAACTAAATTAGGCAGGTGCATAAATTTGGGCACCCTTGTTGTTTTATTCATTTGAATACCTTTAGCACTAATTATTGAAACATAGAATTTATTTGGTAAGCTCATTGACCCTTAACCTACATACACAGGTAAATCCAGTCATGACAAATGGTATTTAGGGCGGCCAATTGCAAGTTTTTCTTCCTCTTTGCATCTTCTCTCGAGAGTGGCTACATGGGAGCCTCAAAACAACTCTCAAATGACCTGAAAACTAAGATTGTTCAACATCATGGTTTAAGGGAAGGATCCAAAAAGCTATCTCAGAGATTTCAGCTGTCAGTTTCCATTGTGAGGAACACAGTGAGGAAATGGAAGACCACAGGGACAGTTCTAGTTAAGGCCAGAAGTGACAGGTCAAGGAAAATCTTACATAAGCAGAGATGAAGGATGGCGAGAACAGTCATAGTAAACCCACACACCAGCTCCAAAGACCTGCAACATTATCTTGCTGCAGATGGTGTCACTATGCATCGTTCAACTATTCAGCGCAGTTTGCACAAGGAGATGCTGTACGGGAGAGTGATGCAGAGGAAGCCTTTTCTGTGCACATGCCACAAACAGAGTCGCTTGAGGTATGATTAAGCACATTTGGACAAGCCAGCTTCATTTTGGAATAAGGTGCTGTGGACTGATGAAACTAAAACTGAGTTATTTGGGCATAACAAGAGGCGGTATGCATGGTGGAAAAAGACCACAGCATTCCAAGAGAAAGACTTGCTACCCACAGTAAAATTTGGTGGCGGTTCCATCATGCTGTGGGGCTGTGTGGCCAGTGCAGGGACTGGTAAACTTGGTAAAGTTGAGGGTTGCATGGATTCCAATCAATATCAGCAGATTCTTGAGAACAATGTTCAAGAATCAGTGACAAAGTTGAAGTTGAAGGGCTGGATATTTCAACATGACCCTAAACACTGCTCAAAATCCACTAAGGCATTCATGCAGAGGAACAAGTACAACGTTCTGGAATGGCCATCTCAGTCCTCAGACCGGAATATTATTGAAAATCT